TTTTTTGTACTGATCGGGCTACCGACCAATGGTGCCTGACCGTATTTATTTTACAGCCAAACTATATTTTTACCTGCATTTGGAGAGTGGCGGGTGCTAATTTTGGACCCTGTGTGCAGGTGTTGGTGTTTAATCAGTTTGCATGTAAATGACAACCAACAGATGGTTGATATTTGTTTTAAGAGAAGTGATTACTTAAACTGTTTTTTCTGATGGGGTTTTCTCCTTTAAAAAGTCTGAAACTGATTTTGTGAAGGCAAGTTTGAATAGTTGTTGTAGATTATAAGAGTGAAGAGAAGAAAGTAAAGAGAGAAAAAAACAAAGCCTGGGTCAGTTTGAGTGTGTGCACGTGTGCACTATAGTGTGCACTTGTAAGTGTAGCCTTGTTTTGAGAGCTATTTTAAGAGCTAGCATAGTAAGTTGTGGTGACCACACAAAATCACATGAGCTTCTTGGAATGAACTGACTCAATTTTTCCACTGTGAAAAAAAAAACAGTTAGATGAGAAATTTGAAAAGCTATGCATCAAAACTCTTTTTCCTAATGTCAAAAGATCTACTGTTTTAAAATAAAAACTGAATTAAAAAACAACAACAGATAAGTCTAGGTAAAGTAGAGCAATGGCACATACATTGTGTTCCTTATTTTGTCTGATTCTGTACTGTACTGAGTCTCATTGGATTGTCATGAGCACTATTATGCTCTTCTTACAGAGATATTCCAATCAGTGGCAAGCTTTAACAAAACATTTGAGACAATGCATCTGTGCCATACCTGATGTTAAAAAATATCTGTTTTGAATGACGGCCCTAAAGCCCCAATGTGTCATTTTCTTTTAGTCTGAAAATCAAATTCATTTTATGTTTCTGATGACATTCATATAACTCTTCCTCATCATGCTTTGTTAAAAAGCTGTGAATCAAAGTTTCTCGGAATGTCATCATAGTGTAAGTATCTCAAAATTCCAACTATTAAAATGTCTAAAACTGCTGCTGATCCCTTTCCATAGTTTCATAGTCAGGCATCATCAATATGCAACAATGGAGTACACGCTACAGTAAAACAGGGTTTCCGTCAGTGTACTTTATGTTGTGAGAATCATAAATTTGACAACATGGCCCCCGTCTTTTACTGTGAACTCTACACCATAGTGACAGTTAAATCATTGCAGCGGTTCATGAGGTGAGGAAAGAGCACAGAAATTCTGCCAACTTCAAAACCACAAAGACTGTCTGTCTTTCAAAGCTGTTTAAAGGAGAGCCATGTCTCTAATGTGCAACATTACAAACACTGCTGCAAGCAAATTGCATTTTTTTTACATAAATGTCAAGTTTTTACAACAGAAAAACAAATATACTTACGTAGAAAGTAAGTAAAAATGGTTTATCTTGAGAAATTAAATCTGAAGAATTGTATATATTACAAAAACCAAGATGAAGCTCTGAACAGCAAAACAAAAACAGTCCCTATGTGTGCAAACTGGGGTCAAACCCAGCATATCTTCTTCCAATGCACTGTAGTCCTTTTTCTGGATGTACTTTTTTTTTCTTTTTTGCCTCTTCTATGATGATTTCTCTGTCTACATATTCATGATGATCTCTATTGTTACTGAAGGAAATCAGAATTGTAAAACTGGTGCTATACGGAAGATCAGGATCAATTCTTGTTCAAATCAGTGTTCTTGCCGTGTTTGGTCCTCTCTAACCTATCGGTATGTGTTGGACTTGATTAGAATCAGAAGCAGAACTAGAAGCAGAATGATTCCACAAAAAGGGTTAACTACTCTTCCCCTCACCTGCTTCCTCCTCTGGCAGTCAGGGTTTCTGTGGTTTTGGCTGGCTTTTTCAATTTAAACCACAGCTTGACTCCTTCCATGCTCTTAAACATCCAGTTTTTTAGAGTCTTGCCCCAGGGAAAGAGGCTTATTCTGTGTCAGTGTATGCCTATATGCTGTTGTGACTCCATCAGGCTATTCAAATTCAAATTCAAAAAACTTTATTTGTCCCCGGGGGGCAATTCAAAGGCACACAGAGCAGTAAATTAACAACAGTGCAAGTAAACAAAACATTTTAGCCTAAATAGAAAGTGTCAATTTAAATACAACTTAAAGCTTAAACTTGAAACTTTAAGCTTTAAGCTTTAAGCCCACTATATTTGAAGGGCTCCAAAACAGGGCACCTTTCTACAAATGGAACTGATTCATACTCTCTTAAATATCTCACTTACACTTTGGAAATGCTTCAGCATGTGTGGAATGTTTCCTTATTTACCTTTATTTTCTGAGGATGGCTAAAATTGGTTTCACCTGGTATTATCAGTTTGTTGGTGTAATGGTGCCATTTGACATGGAGATCCCTTAAACCACCAGGACCCTTGTTCTGGAAGTGTTTTTTTTTCTTTTTTCTGGAAAGCTTCCCAGTCTGTTTCCACAAAGAGGATTTGCCCTTCCTCTTCTGTCCAGCGGCAGATCTGTTATCAGTGAGAGGCGGCATCTGCTGGTGTGATGGACTGATGCCAAGGCACAGGACTTCTGACTGCAGGGAGAGTAGAAAGGAAAACACCTGTTTCTGTCAAGTGTGCGCCAAGTGTGTCAGAATGACTGCAGACATGTGCTAAAATAGCAAGAGACAAGACATACTGTTAATGTTACAGTGTCGGTAGTGATAAGTTCACCTAATTACTTGATTTTCTTCTTGCAGATAATGTATTGTTTAAAGGAAAACTCACCTGAAGACTGGACAGCAGCGGTTATTTGGAATCTAATCAATTTGTAAGATTCGTAAATCCACCAGCTTATACTTCTTGGGCTGCCATTTTGATTTCCATAATTAGGGGAAATTCATGCCAATAATACTGGAAACGGTAAAGTAGTATGCAGTATCTTGTTAGGAGACTTTAATGGGGTAGTATATGTATGCATAGCTCTATTGGTTGATTTTAAATCAAGCTTACTACTCAACTACTGAAACAGTCCTAGCTTTTTTTTGGCTCCAGAGGTTCCCTTAAGTGTCGTCTTGGGTTAGGCCCGAAACAGTTGCATTGTGAGAAATTTAGGATGCAGGTGTTTTTTTACCATGACCCTTAGGAGGAAGTAAATGTCAGGATATGCGTCTGCTTCTGTTGCTTCGATTTTTACCTCTTATTTTGTAGACCCTCTGCCATTCCCCTCTATTTAACAGTTTAACAGTTGGGCCATTTTAAATAAATGATGTAGCCCTTTGATTCTACATTAACACCGGCAGCTATCTTAACATTATTATTTTAGCTTATTTAACACCTGTCATTAAAAATTCAAACATATAAACACATGTTGCGCATATGCATCCATTGACACACCACCCTGATGAAATCACACCTGGAGACAGGGAGGAAGAGGAAAGTTATGGCAGGATGTAGAGAACTGTACTTAACTGCTTCCCGTGGATGTAAACATGAGGTATATGTCCGTGTGTGGGCCTTTGATTTTGTTTGATCCAGGTACATTAGGGCGTTTACCTGAACATTTGATGTATATTACATGTAATTCAGAACATTTTATGAAATGTTGGAACACTATGCAAAATTCAAATGGAATTCATTTATTTACTCATGAACTGGCTAGACATGCTGCTTTAATTGGTCGCCTGATGGCAGAGTTTGTGCAGGTTAAACAACCTACAAGAATCTGCTTTTGTCACTCATTAACCACCGTCGAAAAGCAAAAATATCATCTTACATAGCTTCCCTTTTCTGAAACACTGTAGGCAAAATAGGCACTGAAACAAAATTGGGTTGTAAACATAAATTTTTCCTTGAGACATTTGAACTAGCTGACAAAGTGATGCTGTTTTACTATTTGCACCTTTTTCTTGAGGATCAGCCAACAGACGTTAACTGTTTACCTAGGACAGTGGTTCTCAAACTATGGTACCCTGTGGTGGTACGCAAAGGAATCTCCAGAATATATATATAAAAAAAACCTGTTCAGCATAAAACGACAATTTTTGTTGTTGTTGTGGTACTTTTAACTTATCCATCTTGTATCTATTGGGTTGTATTTATATCAAATGTATTTTCCCTTATAATACAGAGGCTCTAGTTGCACGTAGCGCGCTCTCTCTCTCTCTCTCACACAGAAATTTGAAACAGGTTGTTGGTATAAAGTTGTCATTTTTATTGTTCTGCACTTTTATTGATTTGGGCAAGATTTGTCAGAGTTGTGTGGAGTTTAAGTGCCAGTTCTAGCGCTAGCCCTTAGTAGGCCTACAGCGTGGCTGCCAACAGTCAACAATAAATAATATTCTTTTTATGAATACATTTGCCTCCTGGATGAAAAGTGTGTAGAAATAGGCCTACAGTGTATTTTAACGTCTGCCGTAATGGTGGTACTTGGAGAGCCAAATATTTTCGGAGGTGGTAGGCAGTCTAAAAAGTTTGAGAACCACTGACCGAGGACATTTAGCTTCATTCTCCGTCATTAAGCACAATATGAGGAATGTGGCAATCAGGTACATACACAAGAACCTTTGTAAGAGGGTTTCAAAATGAGTCAGCTGACAAGCCAATGACAGTGTTCTCTGCAAAGTCATTGAGCTAAAGTTATCTTGTTTTTCCTACAGCTGATAAAATCTGCTCACAACTAATGTCATCTCAACTGGCAACCAGACATGGAGTTGAAATCTAGAAACAGGATATCTGATCTCATCTTTCGATCAAGGACCTAATTCTCATGATTTCAGAGTAAATCTACAACAATTCTGACAAACAACCAGTAATGTACCATAAAAGAATAGAAAACTTTACTAACAAAAGTGCAGATAAGCACATTTTCCATCAAATAAGGATCATCAAAGTGAACATAGTTGTCTTTTCCAATCTATCCTTGTTGCCATAGCATCTTCACTGCTGATCATTTTGTGTAAAGCTACTGCTCAGGAAACCGTCTGAAATTCAGCTGGGTGCATTATGCTTTATGTTCGTAACAACGTTTTTACAATAACATTTTCTACTCTCTTTTCCAGAGAATGGCAGGTAGACATGGTCGGCCTGAGGTCCATCCAAACCCGCAGCCGCACATCCAACCGGAGCCCACCATGCTGCTGTGTACGGGTCTCATGATCCTTCTGATTGGATGGATTATCTACTTGCGAGGCAATACAAACAGCCATGACCACTCTCAGGTGTAGCCTTTGGGAAACCCAGCAGACGTAGCATTTTTCTTTTATAATGTATCTGTATTCTATCAAATCTTGAGCCTCCTTTATGCTCTTGGGGAACGTTTGTCCCCAAATTCCTGCCCTTTACAACGGAGGAAGAAGACTTTGGACTATGTTTTTTATTCATTTTCGTTTTTCTAAGTCAACATCTTTGAGGAGCTATAATGCCTGGCTTCTCACCTCTGTTTATTGGTCACGGCCTCTGAGCCATTGTAATTCAACCAAAGAGCTGGAATTTTGCACTCCGTTCCAGGACTTGTCAGTTAACCCTGTGGAATTTAAAAGTGCCTTGTACAATTTCTTGTTTACTCTTTTAGCTTTTTTAAAGATAGTTGTATTGTACAGAGATGGTAAGTTGTTTGCCAGAGGTTGTTAAAATGTGAGGGTCCAGTCTGACAAATTCCCTATCTTTTCCCACTCAAGTTTTCACTTTGGTCATGTCAGATCCAGCATGCAGACTGGGCAAATGCATTTTTCATTTCTTTTTTTGCATTGTTTCTTATCATACAATGATCCTGAACGTCTGTGCCGTCTGATGCTTTGTTACTGTAAATTTCACGTCTACCTTTGAACTATTTCTTCATGATTATAAAATAATAGGAAATGTAAGTCTTTGCTTGCAAAAGAAGTGTAAAACAGAAAGTAAAGAATTTTGGGAGGAGGTAGAAAAACTGGATCAGGACTGGTCAGCTTATGCAATGATAAAATTACCTAAAACTTCCCGAAGAAATGAATCCTGTTTGAATATAACTCAATACTTGTTATTTCTGAATAATTAGAAAGTTTTGTTTTTTCCTGTGTGTCATATTTCAATACCCTGGTCAAGTTTTACAGACAATATCCCTTTATACATTGGTAAGGACCTGGTCCGGGTAATCTCTAGTCTGGTTTATTATTCTTTTAAAGGTACTTTATAATTACGCAAGAGTCCTGCAACCAAAAAATGAGAAACATTTTCAACTAGTCTTTTAAAGACTAGACAGAAAGGTCTAGTCTTTGAAAATGGAAATTTATTGTATTTCATGACAACTGTACAAGTTATTGAACAATGATGGTAAATTCTCGACAATGGGACCTGTTTATGTGAAAACTGAACATGCCTGGACACATTTTATCCGTTGCGCTGCATTTAGCATTGATTTTGAGGATATTGAAACTTTTTAGAGGGAGGATTCCGATCTTAGTTTTTACTAGAAATCTTGCATGTTTCTGTAACCACTGGAGCCAGAATTGATAGTGTCAGCAAGTGACTTCCTCCCTACTTACTTCAGTCTGAATTACCTCCTAATTCCTCTCTTTTCCAGACATCTTCTCTGGACTTGGATTTGTAAACTTATGATTAGACACAAGAGCATGCTACCTAACTTTTCAATACAATACATTTTCAATTATTGTCAGTAAGCAAACATATCAGTGGAGTGGAACTCAAAAGCACCAGATGATGAACAAATAGTGATGTCATGTTAGCCCTTTATACCATCATAAGTGTTTAAAAACTTTTACTCAATGCTGTTTCAATCCCAAACATTTTTCAACAATCACTTATGTCCAGCCTATGTTGAGACTCTGGATTACCTTCAAGCAGTTAGACTGCAGTTTGCAAACATAAATTTGTTGACAAGGTCATGTTATCCATTTATTAGCTCAAAGTGTGAAACTCTGCCAAGTTTCCTCGCGCCCTGCCAGGTCATTAAACCCTCTCAGAGAGATTTCTGGAAAACAACCAAGCACTGAATCATGCAGAGTCAAAGAGGGTTTTGTCACTGAATATTGTGCTAAAAGTAGGACATTAAACTGTGGTGGTGAAGGTTTTGGAAGACATTTTTATTTTTGTTTTTAAACTCTCTAGGCTCATCGAAACATATGTTCTGTTGTCATGTGAGGAATCACCACAAGTTTTGAAATAGCCTGTCTACTGAATACTATAACAAAGAAAACATAGCAAATGAAAGATGATTAAAAGGAATCATTACATAAAATAAAGATAAACAGTTGAGTAAAGTTAAATCTTTTTTGCAAAAAAACCCCAAATCGAAGTTTTTGAGCCACGATGGATGTTTCTTTTGTTGTCTTGACATGAATGCATCGCAGACTGTTAATTCAGCTTTCATCATCTAAATCTCTGAGATACAGGCTTTGATTGTGATAACATGGCTGTTAACCCTTGAAGTTTTGTTTTAAAACATGAAAAAACCTAAAGAGATTCATATGACTAAAAAGCAGTCAGATCAAAGTCATGTCTCTATAATAGAGACTGTTAGAGACAACAGACTCAGAAAACCACCAAAGTGAGG